CGTCTCTTGAAAATCAAACTACGCCAACCTTCAGCAAGGTTTCTCCCACGAAGGCTGAGCTGACCTCAGCAGAAGTGACCAAAACAGCTTCACCAGCATCCGAGTCTCCCCTTGCCACATTTCTTTCCATGCAGACTGTATCCTCTCCGGCTCGGACCTCGCCGCCATCGTCTCCCTCGGAGACCACCATTGCATCCCATGGCACGAGTTCTTCTATTCATGCAGAGTCCACCCCAACTGAAGGAAGCACCACCTCTTCGCTCCATTCGGCACAATCAAGCACTGCAGTCCCAGAAACCATGTCCTCCGCAAAGTCAGTGGCCTCTATTGTCACCACGACCGCCGCTGTTGGCATGACTGAGCTAACCTCCGCCCAGGAACAAACCAGTCCCTCCATCGCCCCCTCTTCTTCCATGCAGCCGAAAGGAACCTCACGGCAGGAGACATCTCAACCCCTGCCTTCTGGCTCTTCCACAACGAAACCGGAGGTGAGCTCTGCCCGAGGCACCACCGTTTCTACGCCAACTTTTTCCCCTTCTACTGACCACTCTTCCATTGCCCTTACCGAGGAAAACACCGTCTCCTTACGGTCTGCCAGTCCTCCAGCCAGGGTCGAATCAACAGCAGCTGAGGGGACCAGCCCTTCCCTCTCCTTGGCAACATCTCCTACGGCTGCTCAGCTGAGAACCTCGACTATTGAGGTGACCGGATCCACCCCGATGAGGCCGCATTCCACTGTGGAGACTGGATTCACGTCTCTTGAAAATCAAACCACGCCAACCTTCAGCAAGGTTTCTCCCACGAAGGCTGAGCTGACCTCAGCAGAAATGACCAAAACAGCTTCACCAGCATCCGAGTCTCCCCTGGCCACGTCTCTTTCCATGCAGACTGTATCCTCTCCGGCTCGAACCTCGCCGCCATCGTCTCCCTCGGAGACCACCATTGCATCCCACGGCACGAGTTCTTCTATTCATGCAGAGTCCACCCCAACTGAAGGAAGCACCACCTCTTCGTTCCATTCAGCACACTCAAGCACTGCAGTCCCAGAAACCATGCCCTCCGCAAAGTCAGTGGCCTCTATTGTCACCACGACCGCTGCTGTTGGCATGAGTGAGCTAACCTCCGCCCAGGAACAAACCAGTCCCTCCCTCGCCCCCTCTTCTGCCATGCAGCCGAAAGGAACCTCACGGCAGGAGACAACAACTCAACCCCCACCTTCTGGCTCTTCCACAACGAAACCGGAGGTGAGCTCTGCCCGAGGAACCACCGTTTCTACGCCAACTTTTTCCCCTTCCACTGAACACTCTTCCATTGCCCTTACCGAGGAAACCACCGTCTCCTTCCGATCTGCCAGTTCTCCAGCCAGGGTCGAATCAACAGCAGCTGAGGGGACCAGCCCTTCCCTCTCTTCGGCATCTTCTCCTACGCCTACTCAGCTGAGAACCTCGACTATTGAGGTGACCGGATCCACCTCGATGAGGCCGCATTCCACTGTGGAGACTGGCTTCACGTCTCTTGAAAATCAAACAGCGCCAACCTTCAGCAAGGTTTCTCCCACGAAGGCTGAGCTGACCTCAGCAGAAGTGACCAAAACAGCTTCACCAGCATTCGAGTCTCCCCTGGCCACGTCTCTTTCCATGCAGACTGTATCCTCTCCGGCTCGGACCTCGCCGCCATCGTCTCCCTCGGAGATCACCATTGCATCCCACGGCACGAGTTCTTCTATTCATGCAGAGTCCACCCCAACTGAAGGAAGCACCACCTCTTCGCTCCATTCGGCACAATCAAGCACTGCAGTCCCAGAAACCATGTCCTCCGCAGAGTCGGTAGCCTCTATTGTCACCACGACCGCTGCTGTTGGCATGACTGAGCTAACCTCCGCCCTGGAACAAACCAGTCCCTCCATTGCCCCCTCTTCTTCCATGCAGCCGAAAGGAACCTCACGGCAGGAGACAACTCAACCCCCGCCTTCTGGCTCTTCCACAACGAAACCGGAGGTGCGCTCTTCCCGAGGCACCACCGTTTCTACGCCAACTTTTTCCCCTTCCACTGACCACTCTTCCATTGCCCTTACCGAGGAAACCACCGTCTCCTTACGGTCTGCCAGTCCTCCAGCCAGGGTCGAATCAACAGCAGCTGAGGGGACCAGCCCTTCCCTCTCTTCGGCCACATCTCCTACGGCTGCTAAGCTGAGAACTTCGACTATTGAGGTGACCGGATCCACCCCGATGAGGCCGCATTCCACTGTGGAGACTGGCTTCACGTCTCTTGAAAATCAAACTACGCAAACCTTCAGCAAGGTTTCTCCCACAAAGGCTGAGCTGACCTCAGCAGAAGTGACCAAAACAGCTTCACCAGCATCCGAGTCTCCCCTGGCCACGTCTCTTTCCATGCAGACTGTATCCTCTCCGGCTCGGACCTCGCCGCCATCGTCTCCCTCGGAGACCACCATTGCATCCCACGGCACGAGTTCTTCTATTCATGCAGAGTCCACCCCAACTGAAGGAAGCACCACCTCTTCGCTCCATTCGGCACACTCAAGCACTGCAGTCCCAGAAACCATGTCCTCTGCAGAGTCGGTAGCCTCTATTGTCACCACGACCGCTGCTGTTGGCATGACTGAGCTAACCTCCGCCCAGGAACAAACCAGTCCCTCCATCGCCCCCTCTTCTTCCATGCAGCCGAAAGGAACCTCACGGCAGGAGACAACAACTCAACCCCCGCCTTCTGGCTATTCCACAACGAAACCGGAGGTGAGCTCTGCCCGAGGCACCACTGTTTCTACGCCAACTTTTTCCCCTTCCACTGACCACTCTTCCATTGCCCTTACCGAGGAAACCACCGTCTCCTTACGGTCTGCCAGTCCTCCAGCCAGGGTCGAATCAACAGCAGCTGAGGGGACCAGTCCTTCCCTCTCTTCGGCAACATCTCCTACGGCTGCTCAGCTGAGAACCTCGACTATTGAGGTGACCGGATCCACCCCGATGAGGCCGCATTCCACTGTGGAGACTGGCTTCACGTCTCTTCAAAATCAAACCACGCCAACCTTCAGCAAGGTTTCTCCCACGAAGGCTGAGCTGACCTCAGCAGAAGTGACCAAAACAGCTTCACCAGCATCCGAGTCTCCCCTGGCCACGTCTCTTTCCATGCAGACTGTATCCTCTCCGGCTCGGACCTCGCCACCATCGTCTCCCTCGGAGACCACCATTGCATCCCACGGCACGAGTTCTTCTATTCATGCAGAGTCCACCCCAACTGAAAGAAGCACCACCTCTTCGCTCCATTCGGCACACTCAAGCACTGCAGTCTTAGAAACCATGTCCTCCGCAGAGTCGGTGGCCTCTATTGTCACCACGACCGCCGCTGTTGGCATGACTGAGCTAACCTCCGCACAGGAACAAACCAGTCCCTCCCTCGCCACCTCTTCTGCCATGCAGCCGAAAGGAACCTCACGGCAGGAGACAACAACTCAACCCCCGCCTTCTGGCTCTTCCACAACGAAACCGGAGGTGAGCTCTGCCCGAGGCACCACCGTTTCTACGCCAACTTTTTCCCCTTCCACTGACCACTCTTCCATTGCCCTTACCGAGGAAACCACCGTCTCCTTACGGTCTGCCAGTCCTCCAGCCAGGGTCGAATCAACAGCAGCTGAGGGGACCAGCCCTTCCCTCTCTTCGGCAACATCTCCTACGGCTGCTCAGCTG